TAAGTACAGATCAGTGCCAGGATGTTACACTTTGATACCAAAGATCCTGAGAAACATACATGCACAGGAAAATACCTCCGGGAAGAACTGCAGCCCCTCCACTGACTGCAAGCAAAAAGTAACACCAGTGACTAAATCCCACCAGACTCACAGGAATATCAAAAAGGAACCAGGTTTCACAACTTACTGTCCAATACTTAATGAAATACTTGAAGACTGTTGCAGCAATATACAAGCAATACAACAAAGAATAGGCTAAGAAGAGTAGAAAGAATTTGTAGTTAGAAAATCCAATGCAGTTATTCACCCTAGAGAACAAAAGCAAAGTTGAAGTCAGGGTCTGCACAGCACACAGTTGTAACACAAGGAGCACTACACGGGTTTTGCTTTTAGGGAGCTTCCTGACTCTACAACGCGATTTTGCCAATAAACAGCTCCTCTTAGTGGTCGAAAAGAACTACAGCTTCCCTTGAGGACTTGGGGTATGCCAGGGAAAAGGACAGTTCAGTTCTGTGTCACTTCATTCGTTCGCAGAACTCAGGAGCCAGATTCTCCACTGCTCGGTTGTTTACACACAACCCAACCCAACCCAAATTTGACTGTAATTCTCCACGCACAGGACAACTCTAAAAAGGAGCAAGGGAGTGCAGAAAAAATAGGGGGAGTTTCTCTCAAAACTGAGGTTTGAAAAAAATCCTCTAGGATTTAGGACTCAGGCGGGGAAATGTTTGTGTTGCTTCTGATTCCTGAAATCTTCCTTTTTTATTAAAAAAAAGGAGGAGTTTAAGGAATTTCATGGCAGCAACTCTCAAGAAGTATTAAAGCTTAACTCATCCGTGCACCATCCTACACAAAATGCTTGTGAGCATGCACAGGTGGCAGGCAGCACTTCAGAAACAACCTGTGTGCAAACCGTATTACTGAAAGCAACCACCAACTGCAGGCTGGGACGATTATATACCCAAAACTGAAGTCCCTTTAAAATTTGAGTAAGAATCACAGAGCAAATCAGCAGTTGTGATTTAAATTATATCAACAGAACAGCTTTTTTTACACAGGTGTATGGAACAAACATGGACAATCTGTCTTTCAAAGTACCAAACATTTCAGGTAATTAAAAAGTGTAATTCTTCTCTAAATTTCCCAGCCTAAAGAGGTGCATGGTCTAAAGTGAAAGAGGCATACAGAAGCTACTGTGTGGAATTATATCGACAGAACAGCTTTTTTTACACAGGTGTAACAAACATGGACAATCTGTCTTTCAAAGTACCAAACATTTCAGGTAATTAAAAAGTGTAATTCTTCTCTAAATTTCCCAGCCTAAAGAGGTGCATGGTCTAAAGTGAAAGAGGCATACAGAAGCTACTGTGTGGAAGAAAACGTATTCAAACAGCCTCTCTTTTCAGAAAACTACAAACCAGCATCTAGGACATACCACGGGCAGTGATGATCCATTTTTAGCACGCATCTGCAAAAGGACAAAAAAAAAAAAAGACAACCAGGAGCTCAGTTAATTTTCACGAGGTGGCACACTTTCCAGCAAATTAGCGCGGACATGGCGTGGGAACCGCCAACGCTTCGGGGCCACCAACAGCAGAAAGGGCAACACAAACGCTGGTGCCGAAGGGCGCAAAGGGACGCTGCTGAGCGCAGCCGCGCCAGAGGCATTCGGGCACCTTCACGTGGTAAAAAGACACGTGAAGGACCAGCCCGTTCACCTGTCACCCCAGTGAGAAACAATGCAGGAACTTACATAGCACAGACGGAACAATGGTGACAACGATCTGGTTTTATCAGCTGGCATCTGTCACAGAACCGAATCCCTGAAATTAAAGACATGTTAATACCCAATAACAGAAAAGTGGTGTTTGGGTTTTTTTTTCATCATTCTTCTGGAGGCCTGCAGATGGGGGAACAATCCTCTCCATAACGCACTCAACCAGCCTTAAGGCGTTAAAACAAAACTGTGCGCTTTCCTCTGGCTTCAGAGATCAATGTCAGACCCCGAAGTTTAACTCCATCTCAAGCAAAAACGACTACAGATTTTGTCATTCTGTTACCCTTACACAGCACGGGTGATAATTACAGCTCGATTCTGACTAAACGCAACTATTTGCTCTGTAAATACAAAGGGTAACGCCCTGCGTCTCAGAGGCAGCACCTGGCGCTCCACTGCCAATGAGCAGAAGTGTTTGAGGCTTTTTTTGTTTTCCCAAACATAAAACCCAAGAGGAAAGGCAGGAAAATGATTCACGCCAGAGTTACCCAGCACGCAGTGGCATTAGGAGCGCTCTGCTGGTCGGCGGTATCACCTGGACGGCTGGCACACACTGCTTTAGATTTAACGAAACAGAGCTCAGCTGACCTCCGCTCCCCGTTCTGGTGTACACCGGCAACTTCCTTGCAATTTCTGCAAGGATTTGCCTCTGCACCTCTGGCCTTTCTTCATTCTCGTAGCGTTCTTGGTCAGCGTAGGACATATGGTACTAGAAGCACAAGGCATGAAAGCAGGAGTTATGCACAGGCAGCAGAGATAATATTTAAAATAGAGCCGAGTTTGGTACCATTTTTACCTCCCACTCCCTCTAACGAGTTTGATTTGTCTTTAGCATCCCCGCTTTTGTTCTGCAATGAACGCAAAGTGCTTGGACTCTTACCTTTTTGCCTGGCTGCACCGGGAGAGTAAAAATAGACTTCCAGTACGTCCACACAAAGAGCACAAAGAGAATATGGAATATCACAAGATAGGCCACTAAGAAAAAAAACACAACAGAAACAGAACAAAACAAAGAAACAGAAGCAGAACAGTGACTTCTTAAGCAAAGAGCCTAATTCCAATCCTTCATGACAACGACCAAAAAAATCAAGGAGAAAAGAAGATTTACGGTACCAACTGGTATTACAATACAGCTAACCCTTACGAGCTGAGAGCCAGTGGAGTTTCAGAGCTCTGTGGCTGCTGTTAGGGGTTACCTGTCTCACAAGCCTCCCCTTTGGGAGATTTGTTGGGAGAGGAAGAACACAGCTGTAAGAGACTTCACCCGTGGGACAGGTGACAGCCCTGTGTCACTGGGAGTGGCAGGATTCCCCTCTCTTCCCCATATCCTAGGCCCAGGCAAAGCAGAGCTGGCTGGTGCTGAGCAGCATGAAGGTTAACGCCACAATACTCCAGCGCCTCCAAACTTTGGGATCAGTTGCTACGAAATGTACTTTGCATCACATTATCACGGTATCAGGGTGCTGCCCTCTCGTGCAACACGTTCTTCGCCACTTGCGAGAGCTGAGAGGAAAAAAGATGCTTTAGCAGAGCCTTGCATCACCAGAATAAAAACAGGTCTCTTATTAAACATCTTTTAGATCTGCCACAACAAAATAATCAGGAAAACATCCCTCAAATTGAGCAGAAAGGGTCTTGTGATTACTGAGAAAGGATTGTAATCCACTAGGAACAACATTATCACATGAAATCCAGCAGGCTTACTGCAATCTGCAAACTTTACTGCAAAGCCCCTGGGCCCAAGCAGGCGTACTGTGGGACAGCTGTCCTTCTGCTGCAAAAACTATCTGTTATTTCTTCAATATTTGACTCACTAAAATACCATCCAACAGCTACGAGACAGTTTTATTTAAACACATCGTTTAATCATAACAATAACCTCGTTTTCCTCATTTCACTTGAGCTTCAAATTCCAGCAAACTAAGACTAAAGTAACGACTCCTCCTGGAAAAAGAAGTCTGAAATCCAAACACTTCCTAACTTCTCAGGCAAGACTGTGGGAAAATATAATTGGTAAAAAAGCCAAATACAGTTTTAAAACTTTCTAACGAGGTGGCAAACGATTCCATACGCCTCACAAGAACGAGATGGGTTGTGTGACTGATCTGTGAATCAATGAGAATCCATTATTATGCTCCCAAGTTGGTTTGAGATGTTATCCTTACACCACACGCAGGTGGAGCTCAGGCCTTTTTAAATTAGTGTGTAAGGAGATAAATCTTGCAACAGGTTTAATTTTGTTGATAAAGCAACACGGCAGCATGTTAGAGGAAGCTGACCTGGAGATGCACTAACAGATCAGGTAACTAATGGCTTTCTGCTGCTGAATAATCATTAACACGATGCTTTCTACAGTTTCTCTGTGCCATTGTTTATTTGTTCTAACTCGTCTAGGGTGGTAACTGAAAGTTACTGTGGTGCCACTCCACATATGATTAGTGGTCAAGAGAGCCAAGCACAAAATCACCTGTAAAAGCCTCCCACAAAAAAAAAAAAAGAAAAATAGCTTTCACTGAAAGAGCAAATAAAATGGTGGAGGAAAAAAAAACCAGGCAGGTCACAGAACAGAACTAGTCTTTTCTGTTTAGCTTGTAAAATCAGCTCTGAAAAAGTAAAACAGAAAGGGAGAAAAGGCATGTGGGTGCACAGAGCTAGACAGACATAGCTGGCTCTGAAAGAGTAAAAGGGATCAAAGCCTTTTCATGTTCTTCTGCTTATACTGTGACTACACAGGGGCACTTCCCAGGGCATCCACAAGTCCCGGCGTGGCTAACAATGCACGCTGTGTACTTCACCAGAGTGCAGTTACAGGAAGGAAACACTGAGAGAGTTACGCAAGTTCAAATACCAGTAATACTCTCCATCGATTTTTTTAAACCAGAGCATTTGTGAATCTTTTTACACGAGGACTGAATGTCAAATAAGCAGCTGAACACACATACCTTTCTCCACAGGGTTGCTCAGAGTCACTGAAAAAGAAAAAAAAACCCCATATGTCTACAGAGCAAATAGGATTCCCAGAAAAGTTTGTGGCAAATAATGTTTCTATTTGAAATACAGCCATTCTAGGGGAAAAAAAAAAGTTAAAATACAACGGGCAAAGAGAGAGCCCACAGTTGAGCATCAAATCAAAATCAGCCAGATCAACTCCTTGCTTACGCAAGTGACACCCACAACAAGATGTTCAGTAGCTGTTACTTCTGTATTTCCCCTTGTTATAGAAGATACGCTGCGTGTTTGTACATCAGAAACAGGACAAAATCAATCCACCGGGGACAGGGATGGGACAAGGTTACCAGGGCTCCCCTGGCAACTGTCCAACCAGCATCTCCATCCCGTACTTCTAAGCCTGTACTCGCAACCTGCTTTGTACGAGGTGCTCTTATGGGATCGTAGAACGTTTCTGGCTGGAAGAGACCTTTCAGCTCATCGAGTCCAACCTTTTCCTGCCTCTATCAACACCATTAAACCATGTCCCTCAATGCAACATCCACCTGTCTCTTAAACACCTCCAGGGATGGCAACTCAACCCACTCCCTGGGCAGCCTGTGCCAATGCCTGACAACCCTCTCAGTAAAGAAATTCCTCCTCAATTCTTCTCAGTAAAGAAATTCTTCTTCTTGACCGCCGGTGCATTTCCACATCGGCACAAATAAAAAATTTCAAATTGTCTCAGCTTTGGCCTAGTCAGCAACAAAGGATGTGCTGCAATGACCCGATTATTTTTTATCCTTCCCACTAGCAGAGCTTTTACAACCCTTCCTTACTTTACCACAATCACAGGAACAGTCCCTGCTAGAGGAACCACTTAGAGCGACCAGCAAAAGGGTACATTGCTCAAACATCTACTTCTACTGATTATTTTTAAACACACTCCTTGTTTTAAAAGCCATCATTCAAGTTCAACAGAACAGAAAAAGACATCTCTCTTTAACTGACAAAGGGGCAGTTCTGCGATACCTCGACAGAAGACTGCCTGGAAGACAAAGGTTGTTCATGGGATGGGAGCCCCTTAGATCGAGTCCACAGCCTCAAATCTAACATTGCAACTGAAACATGTTGTTGCTTAGAAGAACAGAGGAAAGAAAGAAAACTTGTGGCCACAGATGATCTCCCAGGGGCACAAAAATAAGATCGTACTGTTGGAAGGCTCAAAGATTTGAGGCATTGCACATGCCAGCCGTGAGCCCTTCAGTAACTCTCTCAGACTGTACAGAAAAATAAGTGATGGAGGGACTGGAGGTTTTTACTTCCAGGCAAAAGCCAGTGCCTGGAAAGGGACTTGACTCTTCAAGGCTCACTCCATCATCTCACTTGAGTAACAAACTTGGAAAATGTAAATCGATGCAGGAACCAAGAGGTCCTGCTTTTAAAACCACAAATAATTTTGATCTGCAGGCTCCATGACACACTACGCAGACAAAAAAAAACAAAACACAAATATTTGCTGTGTCTCTTTGCACTCAATTTCAGATGAACAAGACTTCAGAAACCTTCAGATTTCCTTTGGTTTTCTACAAATCAAACTATTATGAAGAGTACATCAGCTTTTCACAAATACTGTTTGGTTCTCCTGAAGTACATGTTGCACTTGCAGCACGGCCCTTCTAAGAATTTTACTTCAGAAAAGAGCAAGTTCCTAAACAAAGAGTATATAAAAGGTTTCATTGCAGGACAGTGGGTCATTGTTCTCGCATAAACATGGAAAGTCTCACTCTGTTAGAAATCTGGAAGAGAAATAATGTCCTGAGAGTTGGTTTTCAAGTAACTGCGTATGCCAGCATTAATGTTCAAATCCTAAAATAATGAATTTCGTCATTTCAACTTCTGTACGGATAACCTCCTCCACACAAATAAAATGCATGAGAAAGAAAGATAGGGCAAAAAAAATAGACGGGTGTGGGCAAACGAGTGATTTTAAGCTGCGATTCTAGGCAGCAAGATGAGCTCTTGCCAGCTTCACCAGCATTTGCAGAAGGCCCACTCCAAACTCCACTTTAAATCAGCAGAGTCTTTGCTAAGAGCTGCACAGAGACTTGGAATGAACCAGTGTTAAATAGCACTGAATTTGCACAGCACTGCAGACAAAGCGTATTTCAAAAGACTGACAGCATTTCAGGGAAACAACTTCTGACATGGTCTAACCGACAGTTACACACGCCTTGGAGAGATCATTCTGTGTGAATTCTTGAAACAGCCCATCGTCTCCGAGATGGAATTAGATGTCATGAAGTATTTGGGAGGAGGCTGCCTTTCTGCATTAGCAACCCCAACAAAAATCTGATTTAAATTTGATGTACAGTACCTGAAGGCCCCTCCTTTCAGACAAACATCTCAAACTCCTGCTGAGAACTTTGGCTTCCTTTACCCAGCCTACCCTGACCTGAGGAGAGAAAGAGCCACGGGTTGCTCCTCCCCATTTCAGAAGTCCAAGCTCAGCTATTCTCTCCACCTCCAGACCTAGCAATCCTTTCTTCTACTAACTGTTCATAAGCACAAGTCTACAATTTACTCTATAAAGTGCAATACTAAAGAACAGAGTTACTACTCAGTACCAAATATTTCTAAAACTCGGTGTTTTCCACGCTACTGTAACCGCAACTCGTGAGGGAGATTTAATGTGTCCTATTTAAAAAAAACGACTGCCGCGCAAGGCACACACTGATTTTTGTTGCTGCTTAAGCCAGAGATCACACCCCAGCGTTATCACACGGCAACAGCCCTGCCCAGCCCGCCCCAAGGCCACACAACCACGGGGTGAGTGAGAACACTCAGGACACAAATCTCACAGAGCAGCAAGGCAGCACACCTCGCACCTTGAGT